TTAATCAAAACACCATATTTTCAGTATTTCATAAGGGTCTCAGGTTTTAGTAGTAAGAAGATTTACTTTTACATGCCCTTACTTTTCTGCTGCGGGCTCGCAAAATTTATATGCAACCAATTTGGAATATACCGTAGATATACATTCATGTATATTACCGGAATATTTGTTTTCAACATACTAGGTATATTCATCTGCACATATACACAATATGTACATACCTGGCATGTTCATCTGCACATATCCTACCCAATATTTATGAACTTTGATGAATATATATGCATGTATATTCCACGAACATTCATGTTAGGAATGTTCACCTATGTATATTCCCAGGATATTCCCGCAATGTTCTGTATATTTTTTGAACATTCTGGGATATTCATAGAATATCAAATGCTATCTGGGAAGCCCAAAAACCGACTAAATATACCACAAAGAATTTAACCGCTAACTCAAACACCTACTTGTGAAATCAGCGCATTATTATGCTAATTTAAAGCCGTTCCAACATCAACGTCTGCACCGAACTGCTTAAGCAGATGAGCAAACATGTATTTCCGTCCGCTCAACAACAGCGCGAAAAAATACATTTTTCCTCGGCCATTTAAACGAATTGATTTCAGGCCCTGTTGCCCGAAGAGTGGCACAATTCCGGCCTGGGCTTGACAAACCTCAACCCGAAAATCACTCCTCTGCAAGGTTTCGGCTTTGAGTTCTTCCTCGGCTTCGTCTTGGTGTTGGTGGTGAGTGGAGTATGCGACCCGAACAGGTACAAACTTCACAAAAAGCCCGGGAGTAAGATTGTTAACACTTCTTGGACTTTAGGCCGGAAGCCAAAGCTGCTGGGCCTCTAGCCATTGGTTTGGCTGTCGCTTTGGGACACATGGGAGCCATCAACTTGACCGGCGCCTCCATGAATCCTGCCAGGAGTTTTGGGAGTGCGGTGATTGCAGGCATTTGGGAAAACCACTGGGTAAATCACACTCATGGTAATAATGATCACGTTTAATTTTTTTTATCACTTGCAGGTTTATTGGGTGGGGCCAATAGCCGGTGGAGTGGTTGCTGCCCTGATCTACCACCACGCTCTTCGAGCGCCCACCCTAACAACTGTGAAGATCATCGAAAGGTATTCCACAGTGGCAGACGAAAAAGAAGTAAAGTTTTGAGCATGGAGTTTCCTTCTTACTAACCCATTGGTGATGGAGCGGAACTAACGGGGTTGAGCCAAATAATTATGAAAATGCCGCGGACGAAATCGAGTTGATTTAGGAAAAGCCCGTATTTTCGTCTCTATCTTCTTAGGGATTGGAAATTTCTCATTGCACTTGATTGGTAAAGTACAGGGCTTGAGACGGACTATCTAAAAGCTTCTAAGGATTGTTGGGCTATTTTCAGTCGTTTTTGTGTACTGGCCCTTTTAAAATTCAAGATTTGGCCCATTTTCTAGCTCCTAATCTCTTTAAAGATTAGAGATTCGCACTCCAACCTAATTCGGCAAAAGTAGCAATCATCAAGGACTCAAAAGCTCATTGATTGGACAGTTCCAACCGTTTCAGCGATTGGAACTTCAAGCTCCTGAAAAAACACTTATTTTATGCTCAAAGTTCAACAAATGCTCATTTTAAAAACCATTTTCGATGTCACTTCCCGCCGTGCTTCAACAATTTATTACGCCCGAACCACTTGAGATTGGATAGCGCTTCTTGCGGTAGTAAATAGAGTAACCTTCACTCTATGTTTTCGCCAAATTTCGTTTGTTGATAGGTTTGGACTGATTTTTGTCAGGCTTGCAATGTCTTTTTTGACTAAATTTAACCGTCGTTGTTCAAAAATTTATTGCGCCCAAGGGAGTTGAGATTCAAAAGCCAATTATGCAGTAATAAATAAGGTCGACTTCACTCTATATTTTGCCAAAGTTTCGTTTGCTCGAAGATTCGTGCTGAATTTTGAGAATTATTTAAAGTGGAACGTACATTGGCTTTGGCCAATAAATTTACTCGCCGTTTCTCAAAAATTTATTACGCCCAAACTAGTTGAACGATTGAATCGCGTTTTTTACGGCAAGCAGTAGAGAAAAACTCACTCTATGTTGTCTCAAAGGTTTGTTTGTTCGGAGCTTTGGGCTCAATTTTAAGAATTATTTAAAGTGAAACCTTCAATGGCTTTTGCGACTAAATTTACTCGCCGTTGCTGAAAAATGTATTGTGCCCAAACCAGTTCAGATTGAAAAAGGATTTTTGCAGTGGTAAATAGAGGAAACGTCGCTCTATGCTTTCGCAAAGTCTCATTTGTTGATAGGTTTGTGCTGAGTTTTGAGAATTAGTCAAAATGAAACCTGCAATGACTTTTATGACTAAATTTACTGACTCTTGCTTAAAAATGTATTACGCCCAAACTAGATACGATTGAATCGCCTTTTTTGGGGCAAGAAATGGAGCAAAATTCACTCTATAGTTTATTAAAGTTTCGTTGGCTCGGAGGTTTGGGCTGAATTTTGAGAATTATTTAAAGTGAAACCTGCAATGACTTTTGCGACTAAATTTACTCGCCGTTGCTGAAAAATGCATTGTGCCCAAACCAATTTCGATTGATAGACGCTTTTTTGCAGGAGCAATTAGAGTAAACTCCACTCTATGTTTGAACAAAATTTCATTTGTTGACAGGTTTGTATTGAATTTTGAGAATTAGTCAAAGTGAAACCTGCAATAACTTTTATGACTAAATTTACTCGCCGTTGCTGAAAAATGCATTGTGCCCAAACCAATTTCGATTGAAAGACGCTTTTTTGCAGGAGTAATTAGAGTAAACTCCACTCTATGTTTGAGCAAAACTTCATTTGTTGATAGGTTTCTGCTGAATTTTGAGAATAATTCAAAGTGAAACCTGCAATGACTTTTATGACTAAATTTACTCCCCGTTGCTGAAAATTTTTTTGTGCCCAAACCAGTTCAGATTCCAAGACGCTTTTTGCAGTGGTAAATAGAGTAAACTTCATTCTATGATTTCTCCAACTTTAATTCACTCGCAGTTTGGGGCTGAATTTTGAGAATTTTTGAAAGTGAGAATTGCAATGGCTTTTATGACTAAATTTGCTTGCCGTTGCTCAAAAATGTATTACGCCTAAACCGATTGATAGTGAAAGCCGCTTTTGCGGCAATAAGTACAGCAAACTTCATTCTATGTTGGCTCAGACTTTCATTTGCTCGGAGATTCGGGCTGAATTTTGAGAATTATTTAAAATGAGACTTGCAATGACTTTTGCGACAAGTTTTACACGCCAATTCTCGAAAATTTATTACGCTCAAACCAGTTGAGATTGAAATTCGGCTTTTTCAGTAGTATATAGAGTAAACTTCACTCTATGTTTTGCCAGAATTTCATTGGTTCAGATGTTTGTGCTGAATTTTGAGAATTATTTAAAGTGAAACCTGCAATGACTTTTGCGACTAAATCTACTCACCGTTGCTGAAAAATGTATTGTGCCCAAACCAGTTCAGATTGCAAGACGCTTTTTGCAGTGGCAAATAGAGTGAACTTCATTCTATGTTTTCTCCAACTTTCATCCACTCGGAGTTTTGGGCTGAATTTTGCGAATTTTTGAAAGTGAGTCTTGCAATGACTTTCATGACTAAATTTGCTCGCCGTTGCTCAAAATTGTTTTACGCTTAAACCGGTTGAAAGGCACTTTTTGCGGCAATAAGTACAGCAAACTTCACTCTATGTTGGCTCAGACTTTCATTTGCTCGGAGATTCGGGCTGAATTTTGAGAATTCTGGAAAATGAGACTTGCAATGACTTTTGCGACAAGTTTTACACGCCGATTCTCGAAAATTTATTACGCTCAAACCAGTTGAGATTGAAAGACGCTTTTTTCGGTAGAGATGCGGCAATCTTCACTCTGTGTTCTCTCAAACTTTCATTCTCACAGGAGTTCAGGCTGAATTTTGCAAATTATTGAAAGTCAGACTTGCGATGACTTTTGGGACAAATTTTACACGCCGATTCTCTAAAATTTATTTAAATTTATTACGCCCAAACCAGTTGAGATTCTAAGACGCTTTTTGCGGCAATAAATACAGCAAACTTCACTCAATGTTTTCTCAGCATTTCGTTTGTTGAGAGGTTTGGGCTCAATTTTGAGAATTATTCAAAGGGAGGCTTCCAATGTCTTTGGCAACGAAATAAGAGCGCAGTTGCTGAAAAAGTATAACACCCAAACTAGTCAACATCCGATTTTTCCAGTAGCTTGAACAAAAATCAACTCAAAGTGCCCCTATATAATCATGATGTCATTGACGTTTTAACTTCTCTTCCAGTTAAGAAGACTCGATGGAACCAAGGAAGATAATTTCGCTTAACGCTTGAAGAATCTCACCCACCTTTATACTCATTTCCAGTGCAATGTGTTGACTATGAAGTACAATTACATAAGAAGCTTGTTAATCCTTCCACGCAATGGATCAACGATATTTTTGCCTTGTAGTTTTAGCGTTACAAGTTATTGTGTTCATGCTTAATCATTTGAAAGCAACTAAGCTAGTTTTTGTATTCTATTTATCTCTAGTGTGACTGTATAAGCAATGTCTATGTATATAACGAAGTGTTATTTTATTAATAAACGTACTAAAGCACGAGGAGGGAGAAGGGAATTAAAACACCAATATAATTTAATTAAAAAAATCAATGCAATATATTACTTTGACACTATGTAAAATAAATAGAACGACACAGTTATGTTGGGGAACATTGTCCTGCTATGGCAAGTAAATAATAAAATAAACACAATAGACAAAAACAACGGAATATACAGAAAAGTATTGGTCTTGATAGCTAGTGTTGCTCAGAAATGTCCATCTAGAAGACTAATTAATTCCTAATCCTAATAATGACACAGTCTTCGAATGCTCAGTTGCAACAATTCTGGCAACGTGAAAACACCCCGCAACATTTATACTTTTAACTAACTATCGGTAACTTTGTTAAACTAGTGATAAATGGATTGGCTTAAACCGCAGAAGGATTGGCCGGCACCAAACGAGCGGCGGTTTAACTCCATTCCTAACGACAGTACTTTTCTTCCTACAGCCTAGATAAGTTTAGAAGTTCTACGTTTGGTCGATTTCGATGTGCACGCCCAAAGGTGCGCTATTTGGAAATGATTAGTGCCTGGCAAATTCGTTTAAATGCTTTAAATGCTCAAATATCGCTGCTTTATTGTGTGTCATAAGAGAGCTGAAGTAAAGATTGGCAAACTAGACGTTAGTTGGGGCCTCCATGCCGCATACGATGCTCTTCATGACACTAGCGGCGGCTAGAGACGCGTAGGGCTGCCACTCTTTTCGCCTGGTTCCATCCTTGTAGTCCGAAATGCCTGCGGAAAGACAACAGTGAGAACTTTCGGTTCTTCCATCGGTATATGTAAATTACCCCGTATGCAGACGAAGCTGTCCTTGCAATTGCCCAGGATGGACTCGATCACAGCGTCGAATTCACAATCAAACGCCAATGCGCCCACTTGGGTGGCAAACTGCTGTCTTAAGCGGTCATCCTTGACAACGTGCCGACCGGCCGCCACCGGCCCCAGATGGATTCTTGGACAACCGGCTTGCCTACATACGAAGCAACAGTTAGTTACAAAACCTACGAAAAGGAAAAAATTGCCCCCACTGTGCGTTTCAGAAACTCTTTGCTCTAGTATGTGCCTAAAACAAGAGGTGTTTCGCCTTTTAAGCGCATCAACAGTAAGTTGCAATTGCTCAGAACTAACACTAAAAAGGATCAAAACTACTGTGAATACTAAGTAGTTTCAGTGAATAGAAATCCCACCGCCCTCCAAACCTATGAACGTTTTTTCGGGACTTCCGCGGCGTTTTGGTCGGAGCGAAAGTAACTCGTTGCGCGCTTTTCCCCTGTTGCCTCCTGGGCGGTTGCAAACATAAAAACCGCTTTGAGTGGTGCGAAGCAAATCTACTGAAAATGTACCTCTTGATGCTGCCATCCTGCGGGACGGGATGGGCGACTTCAATCAGATCCCTCTCACCTATGCTCATGTACAGTTTATCAGTCTCTCCACTTGGGGCATTGAAATCGGGTTCTTTTTGCGATGTTAAGATCTTTAGGCCGCTGCTCAGGTACGTCAACCATGGGGGAGTTAGAGAAGGATCCTGATCGGATGAAAGCTGAAAACAATTGAAATGTTTTGCGTTCAGGACGAACAAGTGAAGCTTTAGCTACCTTCAATTGGGTGGCGATGTCCTGCAAGCAGAAGTTGTTCGGGCTGTAGTTCTTGATCTCGAACTGGTATCCCTTGTCGGAAACTTGGGCGTTCTCACAGTAGAGGTAGATGCTCCTTTGGGGCGTAAAAACCACGATTTTGATGGGTTTAAACTGAAATTAAGTCCACCTACTTGTTTCGAGTAGGGCACGAAACCACCACATCGCCCAGTCGAACGTGCTTGTTGTAATCGGTGTAGTGAGGCACGCCTCCGCCTACTCCCACTAGGAACACAAAGTCGACTTTCTGGAAAGTGCCTGAAACAATTGGAAGCTGATAGGAAAAAGCCCGATTTGTGATTAATTAATTTAATTAATTAAATTGTGTGATTAATGAGCGGGATTCAGTACCTAATAACCGAGTCGTGGTGTTTCCTGCAGCCGTCATTGCCTCCCTTGTGCGCCCAACTGTGGGCAGTTTTGTGCAAACGATGCGATGGGCGCCGATGTTGCCCAGAGTATAAACGTTTGATTCGCCTAAAACAGGGAAAATGCCGATAAAACCTTCCTCAATCAAACGTGCACTGTTAGATAATACAGACAGAAAAAGCTTAAAAATAATGTCTTTGGACATGGGTTAGTTGCACACAGCATGAATGACTCCTTCACTTGATCCTTTGGCAACTAAAAACACAAAATCCTGTTCAGGAAGGAAGAAAAATGTTCTCAGGCAAGAGAGGGTTTCTGTCTAGCAATTTGTCCATATACATCGCCTTGTTAGAGATGTTTTGATGAAACCTTTAGGATTTTGCTGGATGTTCGCATTTCATTTTTTTTTGGCATAAACAAAGCTTTTTACAAAAACATTTTTGTGCGGACTGTCCATGTACCTGGTGCTGATTTCCCCTAGACTCTCACATGACCAATTTCAACAGCTTTTTACGCATCAAAGCAAAAAATTGATAAAGATGATATTTGAGACTGCAAGTAAAATTTTCAAAACTTTCACCCGCTTATGAATAAAAATTCATAACTTCCAAAGTAGTGAGAGGCGGAAGTTGAAATTTCTCCAGAGTGAACACAAATGATTCAGAAACCCACAGGTCGAATTTCATTGAAATCCAAGAGCGAGTTAATTTTCGGCAAACGATCATTTTTGAGGCTGCAAGTGAACTTTTCAAAATTTTTACCCGCTTATGGATGAAAATTGACAACTTCCAAACTTGTCCAAGTTAGAAGTTGAAACTTCTCTGCAGTGAGCACAAATGATTCGGGAATCAACAAACCGAATTTCATTGAAATCGAAGAGTGGGTTGATTTTTGGCAATCGATGATATTTGAGACTGCAAGTAAAATGTTCAAAACTTTTACCCGCTTATGAATAAAAATTCATAACTTCCAAAGTGGTGAGAGGCGGAAGTTGAAATTTCTCCAGAGTGAACAGAAATGATTCAGAAACCCACAGGTCGAATTTCATTGAAATCGAAGAGCGAGTTAATTTTCGGCAAACGATAATTTTTTGGCCTGCAAGTGAAATTTTCAAAATTTTTACCCGCTTATGGATGAAAATTGACAACTTCCAAACTTGTCCAAGTTAGAAGTTGAAACTTCTCTGCAGTGAGCACAAATGATTCGGGAATCAACAAACCGAATTTCATTGAAATCGAAGAGTGGGTTGATTTTTAGCAATCGATGATATTTGAGACTGCAAGTAAAATTTTCAAAACATTTACATGCTCGCATTTCATTTTTTTGGCATAAACAAAGCTTTTTACAAAAACATTTTTGTGCGGACTGTCCATGTACCTGGTGCTGATTTCCCCTAGACTCTCACATGAACTGATTAAAAAAATTTGGTGCGAAAATTTCGAAAATAGCTCCACGTCCAATTTCAACAGCTTTTTACAAAGCAAAAAATTGATAAAGAAACAAAAAATACTCGCTTTTGATTATGGGGCACTTCATATCAGTCAGACTGTATATGCATAGAGAATTATCTGGTGAGCGAAACATAAAAAGTGATAAATTAGTATTTACAAATGTGTTTAGACAGCGGTGACGAACAGAGTGGCCCAAAGTATGAATGCCTGCATTAGTATCTCGCAGATCTCAACTGGATTGCTGAACTATTGATTGGCACTGGAGGTGCGAGATAATAAAACATTTCCATCCAATTTTTTCGGGTAATTTTTGGTGCAAGTTTGCAAAAAAAAACAGTTGCATAGTTCAGTGCCAGCAACTGGAAAGTTGAAGCGTTTGTCGCTTACCACATCTGGCTTTACCATAATCACCCACCGGACTGGAAGGACCTAATATTCAAACTCTTAGTTACTGAATACTGCGATAAAGGGCCACTTTCTGAGCAGAAACTCAACACGACGTTACTCACCAACGGTCGTATACCGGACGAAAGTTTCCTTGTTCTCTATCATGGCATCGACGGCCAGTTTTTCGCAATACTGAGCAGTAATAATGGCGATTGTGGGTTGTTTGGCACTGGCCATCGTGGGCATTTGCTTGACGATGGTGACTTCCGTATCATGGCTTTGTTGGCGAGTGAACGCTCCATGTTCCATTGCTTTGACCAGCTGCCGCGTCTGGAGGTCGGTGAAATGTTGAGCCACTTCCTCTTCATCCCAATTGTTTTCTCTGCAAAAACCCATCATTAACAGCAATGGCAAAGGGTTGAAAATCTAGACCCACTTGGCAATTTCCGGTATGGTCACTGGATTTGGATAGGCCGATTCGATGATTTCCAGCACTTTCTCTCGCGTAAGCACCTGGTCGTGGCCTAAGAAACTTTCTTCGGCCGACACTAAAACATCGAAATTTTTTATTAATTAATTCATACAGCAAGTTATTTTTTCGGTTAAAACGGGCTTTCCCATCAATGGCTAGGAAAAGGGGTCGTTCATGAAGGAATCCAGTGAAATGTTCGAAATGGAGTGCGTGATCTTAAACAACGACATTTATATATATTAGATTAAAAAAAACATTCAAAGACCCTGCCTGAAAACTAATCCCAATAGTCTCGATGGCAAATGAGTGATACAACAATATAAAAATAGAACCATCGGACATATCCTTTGACGATAAGCCGATATCAGTACATGCACGTTACTCTTGACAATCGAATATTCAACAAAAGCCGCAAATATTGTTATAAACCAACTGAACTCTCATGCCGTTACTCTGTTATCTTGGAAAAACGTATACAGGGCGAGGTTTGCCTTGCTGCGACAGACTTTCCAATAGGTTGCTGTTACTAAAAAAATTGTCTCCTTTTCTTGCTTCAGCCTCTTTTGCGTTGCCGCAAGTCAAGACTTTCCTTCAAGCTTGGGGCTGGCATGCAAAACTCGCCCTGCACAATTGAAAAACATCGGCATATACCGAGCGTTCCGTCGAACCCTCACCAAAAATAGTTTTCGTTGCTGCCTCAGGATGAGAGGCTGTATTAATTAATGAAGTTACATGGTTGTGCCGCAAGAAAGGTTAATTACACCCACAAGCAATTACAGATTAAACACCGCAAACCTGATCTAAAGAGTGAGACATGACAGTTATGTAGATCTATGCGACAGTAACCAGGCTTAGCTGAAAGAACGAATAGAAAGAACAGTAAAATCTCGGGTTTTTTGCAGTTTTTTTTATCAATTATGAGTGCAGTCAAGGCGGGACTTACGTGGTCTGCTCGGCACTTCTGCCGGCTCGTCCAGGATCTTCAGCTCGACTTCCAACTTGTTAATTTCCGAATAGTTGTGCTGCATCAGCTTCATGATTTTTTTAATAAAACCCACGTAGTCTGCAACATTGGCAGGGATTAGCAGGGGCAGGGGCAGGGGTAGGGGTATTCCCCATTATGGCAAATGACTAAATTACCCCGTGGGAAGTCTTTGGGACTGACTAGTTCTCTGAAAAAGTCCTGAGCAACCGCTGCCTGATTCTCCTCGCATAGATTGTCCTGGCAATTTTTCGGCGCCCGGAACCAAAACCGCAAATTCCGCGATTCTTGTGTGTGATTTTTGGTTTGTGCATTCACTAAAAACACCTTAAAGACTAGCGACAGTTGAGCTGGAACGCATATTTCCCCATTGCCTGAAAAAAAGAGGAACGGATGACAAACATCCCCTGGAAAAGTGCCCTTTGGGGCCTTACCTAGGGCGGTTTCTTTATTTATGATGATTCCGGTGTGTTCGCCGCCAGCAACGTGCATTTTTTCGCTGGCTTTTTGTACTAGTTTGCGTTCGATCATGATCGTTGTGGAATTTGCCGTTTTTCCTTTGGGCGTCATCACCACTTGCTCCTGTTCGACGGGCGATGATTCAGTCATTTTGGTTTAGGGGCTGATAAGCACGGGTTGAAAGTGAAATGGGCTCTGAAATTGAAGGTTTTATAAGTCGAATCCGAAGATAAAGGTCTAAAGCAAGCAGGGGCGGATCCAGCTTTAAAGTCAGGGGGGGTTATGTAGAAAAAATACAGTCTTCTGTTATCTATGCAATTAGAAAAATGAGCGTCGTTTTGTGCAAGGGTGGCGCAAGATTATTGCAAAATTTCATGTTTTCCGTCCCGTTTTGCATGTTTCTCGGATGCAAAATGAGCAAGAACGCTCGTTTTTACATCATTCCGGAGGTAACTAAATGGCCTTTATTCGACGTTTCTCAAGAACCATTCGAGTCACATAATTCGTTTTGGCATCGTTGGATAGAGAATTGAAAACTCGATTCAGTCGTAACAACGTGAGTGAGGAAATTCGAGTAGTTTTGACCCACAAAGCGAAATTTGATATTCAAACACTTAGGTGCAAGATTATGCCAAAATTCCATGTTTTCCGTCCCATTTTTGCTCATTTCTCGGAGGCAAAATGAGCAAAAACGCTCATTTGTACATCATTCTAGAGATAAATAAATGGTCTTTTTAGAAAGTGAACCATGGATGGGGAAATGTTGGCAGTTTTCTCAAAAACGGCTTGAATTCAAGAAGTTTTAGATTTGCGTGGTTTTTTTTTGAGTTGCAAAATCCACTTGAACATGACGCTGCTTTTTTCGAAGTTTCTCAAGAACCGTTCGAGCCACAGAATTCGTTTTGGCATCGTTGGATAGAGAATTGAAAAGTCGATTCAGTCGTAACAACGTGAGTGAGGAAATTCGAAAGTCAAGGTCCAAAGCAGAGACTTTTGCAACTCAAACTTAAGAGGCCAGGAAATGTTTTTCGTTAGATCAGGCTATCGATTGACAATGAGCGCAAATGGAACTCGATCTGAAAAGTGATACCTTCAAGTTGCAATAAAGCGTCAATATCCACGGCTGTGGCTATTTATAACACTGACCAGATAAATAATATTGCGGAATTAATATTAGCACATATGCGGTAGATGAATACAGCCCACTTCAGATTACTAGCAGTGTTTGCCATTGCACTTTAAACCGATTACATGAGCATTTTTCCATGGAATGAAACGTTTTAATTGGTAGAAATCAAAGCATTCTCAGAGCTGCATTATTTCGAAATCGTGACACTTTAACGTTCCTAGTGAAGAAAGCGATGAAAGTAAATAACGGGTAATTTATATGGCTAGAAGAAATTAAAACCGTATATCAAAACAATAAAGTCGTGAGAGCTGATGATGTGGCTTGCACATCACTGGACTGGACCGCTGGAATGTTATCCAAAGATTTAAGCTTTCGAACCTAAATTCCTTGAAACTAATCAGTTTAGCTCCCTAAAAGACTGAAAAACCCATCAGTTTCCCATTCAAGTAAAAATAGAACTATTGATTGGAGACATTTTCCCCAATGGAGCTTGTGCCATTTGGTGTCGTCTGAACCAGTTCCCAACTAATACTTAAATGTGGAAACATTCAGCATATTAATAAGGATCATGCGAAACTAATTCTCTTCGTTCCCAACTAATCACAATGAAAATAGGTGTAAGCAAGCATTTCAAGAAAAGAACGTGCACATGTTTGCTGAAGGTCTTCGGAAAAAGCGACTTATTCTTAGAATGAAGTATTTTGTTTTAAAATTAGACACGTTCTTGTGGATCATTAGGAACACTGGAAAACAGCAACTTCAAGACCAATGAGAGAAAACTTGGAGTATTTAAAAATCAAACTTTAGCCTTATTTATGTTTGAGGCTGGAAGCAAAATTTTAAAAACTCCTACACGCTTGTAAAGAAAAATTTGTCAGTTCCAAACTAGTGCCAGTAACGAGTTGTAATTTATACGCAGTGAACACAAAAGATGAGAGAAAATATAAGTTTCAAACTAGAGCGAACAACGAATTCTGATTGCTATAGAGTGGCATGAATCTGTATGAAAACATACTAAAATTACCTGACTAAAACCACAGATTTTTTTCGAAAAACCCTCAACTTTCACGTTGCGTGTGAATGCTCCGGCCTTTCAACTCCTATTTTAAGATGTTTAGGCACGAGATCACGGTTTAAAGCGAAGATCTGAAGCAATCCAAATAAACAGGGATATAAATTAGAGACTTCCGTAGATGAACTATGTAGACGCTCGTCAAATTCAATGTTCTCAGTTCGAATGCACTCGAATGCATGATTGATTTTGAAAGTAGCAGCGGAAATGCGGCATTTTATGGGGGCAGAGCACAATACTACAAAAGCATCGCTCATTCAATTAAGTGTGTAATTTTAAACGGATTACTTACTAAGTATATTGCTTTAGTCAAGCAGTGAGACATAGAAATGTAAAAAGTAAAAGTTTTAGGTAAAGGTTTTAGGGCGAAGAAATCACATCTGAAAGAAGGCTTAACACGCTTTAAATCACTTGCCGATCTCAAGCATATGAAACTAGCACAAGGCTGCCCATTTTTGAACATACATATATAAATACCAATTAATAGTTTTAGTGATGATGATTCACTTTTCATACTTGGGTCATAGATAGAGTGCCCTGATGGAATACGTGAAGACTGCAATCGATAAAGGCAAAGTTCACTAGACTGCAAATTTGAAGAAGCACCAATTAAGGAAGATATTGATAATTTCTTAACTTGGCCCATTAATGTGTTTTGTTAGGAAAATTATACCCCTTTTTAAAAGAGGTTAGCAGCCGGCTACCAGCGCAATTTTGCTCATTCAAAGTCTTACCTGCACGGTAAAGAGTCGTTCTTTAATTCCTCAAAGTAATACGCCCAGAAAAACACAATTATGCACAAAAACACCCGAAACACACTCACTGAAACGCAATCGACAACTGAAAATGAAAACAAAACAAGAAGGAAATGTCAGAGTGATGTTAAAAGTGAAAGGTTGCTGCTGTCCTTGTTGCACTTTTGCATTTTCTCAGTTTGTTCTTGTCTCGACATGACACAGACGCTAAATTTAGCGGTGATGCTGATCCAGAAATCGCCCACTTGCGCTTTTGGAGGCTTCTTTAATATCAAAATCCCAAAAGCTGTTTTTAGTGACTATGTTGGATTAATTATCATTAAACTCTTCGCTCTTCATGTAAGTGCAACTGCAGCCCATTAAACGAGCTGCGACTGCAGGCAACCATTCAGTGAAAATCAGCAGTAGCGTGCAAGTGCAAAGGAAACAGACATAGCAGCAGGTTTAAAACGATTACCAAACTGTCCAGATTGTCAGACTGCAGTAAAAATAGGTTATAAAATCTTTCCTTGTTTTTATTTTTCAGTTTCCGTTTAAAAACGATGGCGAGAGTGTCGTCTCGCCTCCTGAACAGTTTATCATGCCTCCTGATATTTTTACACGTTGCTAAAGTGGCAGGTCTGGAGGACGATACGATTCCGGCGTTTTTCAAACTAGAGAAGAAACAAGTGTCGAACATCACCCTTCATGATGTCCCCGCGTTTAACATCGTTCTGGAGGTACAGGGTAGAAGTCTTTATCCAAAAATGCGCGTTAAAATCACCCAGGAAATGGCCCAAAGAAACGCAGAGTGTCGCGAAGCGGACTTTGCATATAATATCAGTGAAATCCGAACGGACTCCAAGTGGGGCCAATACAGTTTAGTTGTGCCCCAAAATGTCAGTGGGAAACTTTACTTTTGTCTGCCCCATCAAATCGTGGAAAATCAATTGGGATTCATCACTCCTAATGTTATTGATAGTGAAAGTTACAAGTGGTTTCATCAAGGGCCCGGTATTAGGGTGCCAATGACTGAAGAGCCAAAGGCAACGAAGTAAGTATTCTATTTTTGGCTACAGTGCTACATTGGGGTTTAATTTTAACAATTAGTCACGTTCTTGAGGCTGTAGTCTTATTTGGGGCTCACACGCACAGCAGGGGTCGAAAAAAATCACTCAACGAGCTTCTATTTGTGTATCATGCTCTTGAAATTTGATGCAAAATGCAAGTGCTGCGTTCCAAATTTCGCATATTTAGACGTCTGATACATCAGGGATAATAATTGAAGGCATATTTGCAGTTTATTCATTAGAATCAGCAGCTTAGTCATATGTTTTTCCTTTTTAATGTACATGCATTAATGTAGCATCAAGGATGGTAATGATGTGTTTGATTGCGTTAATCGCCCATCCATATTTATTATTCAGCTACAGGCCTCTATGTGTACCAAGTGATCACTTACATTTACGGAGCTCCTGTATATGTGCACTGTTTGCAAAAGTTGACTAACCGAACAAAAATGCTCTCAAATCCTTGGAATGAATATGTTACAGTGTTCAACTGTAAAGTGGACTTGCTAAACATTACCAAGTGATTGACTGCATCAGGCACATATTTAGAGCTTTCGGGCGAATTTGTTTGGTAAACACTGTACATGCAAGGATCTGGTCAAATGACTCAAAATAGTCAATTTCTATTAGATTAGATATCGCCAATGATGAATGAGTAACCGACTAATCTCAACCCAAACCTAAATGTGTTTTTAATATGCTTCTATATTATTATCGTTTAATTGATAACTCTTATTGATCTTATTGAATTAGGGAAATTCGAGTCTAAATTTTAAGGAAAACGTTCCAAAATTGGGCAAAGTTGGACTCAACAATAAGTCCTCAGTACTTTAAGGAGGTTCTAGAAGACAATAAATGAATTAAAATGTTATGAAAATCTGCTTGTTTCCAGTGCACCGCCAATGGTGGGAAGCAGAGCACGAAGAGATGAAAATGCGACCGGAATGTTGAATGAAGAAAGCATAGGCTCCATTCGAATCAAAGGTCTAAGGCTGGAAGCTTCGCCCAAAGAAATCGAGTATGACGAAAATGGAGTTCCAGGCGTTCTGGCCGATCTGCAACACACTGTGCGGCTGTTCGGTGAAGGTTTCACCGAAGGGATGACCGTCACCTTTACTACGGAAAAGGGAACGTTTGGTGAAATGTGTTACTTACCGATTGCCAAAGGATTTCCGGTAAGTTGGCATGTTTTCTTACCAGCCCGGTGTTCGATTTCAGTAGAATTCGGTCTGTAGATTCCTGAATCTTTGGTGTTCAGGAAGGTTGGAAGTTGTAAATTTTTCTTTATGAGCGGGAAGAAATTTAATACACGACCCCCCCCCCTGACTTGAAAGCTGGATCCGCCCTCGACCTACACTAGACTCTGTGGCTTAAATGGTTCTTGAGAAATGTCGAAAAAGACGGCGTCAGTTTGAGACGATTTTGCTATCAAAAAACCGAGCAAACTAACATCGTTCGGGAAATTTGGACTTTTTTGAGAAAACTGCAAACCGTTCATAAGGAAACCTTTATGTTGTAAAAGCCCCAATTTACGCTCTAACCAGTGGTGTAAAAATGAGCGCCCGAGCTGAATTTCTCCCCGAGAAATGAGCAAAAACGTGACGAGAAACATGAATTTTTGACCTAAT